CCCCAAAACCCCAAAACCCCAAAACCCCTAGCTTCTAATTTATGTTAGATAGATGCATTTTAATCTTAAATAATTTCAATCTCTAATAATAATTCTCTAGATGAACTCAGAAATAAAACAATCTGATCCATCAATGACTTAATAATTATCATCGTAAATGCTTTAATGTTCAATGAGTCTCTCCCTCTTGGCCTTCTTCACCTTCTCCTTCACTCTTTTTGCCCTTATTGTCACTATAATCATCCTTCTAAATTGCTGATAAGAGTCTCTAGATTTGATCTTTCTCTGATACCTATACATGCTCTAATCCGTTTACTCTGTAGACATCAACTGAACCCTTAATGTTACCAGTTAATACTACTGGAGCACTATGACTAAATCTTACTACAGTTTTAGGTGTATTAATATCCTCTCCATCAGAGTTTTTGTCAAAGTAGGTCAACTAAGGCTGTAGATTATCTTTGAAGAGATCCCAAATTTCAACTCTTCCATCATTTGCAACTGAAGCAAAGACTGAAGAGGTATTTGGTGACCACACTACATCGTTTACTTGTTCCTTTAAAGAAGATATTTAATGGCAGATTAGTTTCTGACCATTATCATCTTTTGCATTCCAAACTCTTACAGTCCAATCATATGAACAAGTGATGAAAATTGGACATTCAACAGGATCCCAATAAGGATTGCACCTAATTCTATAGATTGGTCCAGTGTGGCCATAATAAGTAGCCAAATATTGTTCAGAATATGACACTGAGCATCTGTGGATTGTGCAATCTTCAGTAGCAGCAAAGTAGTTCATACCATTTTCCCCTTAAGGAAAATCAATACTTAGACCTCCGGTATTAATGAAAGTCATTCCACCTTTTTTGTCTCCTTCGACTCCACCAAACACATCTTTTTAATTAGGATTAGTTTCTCTTTTGAGTTGCATGATTTCAGTATATTCAAGACCCTTTTTCATCGACCACTCGATTACTCTACCGTCTCCTGAAGTGGAAACTAAGGCCTCTCCTTTACCATCTCTTTCAACCCATTTGATTTCCCAGACAATATCTGTATGCTTTCCTTCGAGATCTTTACTTTCTGCAATTGGTTTGTCATCAGGATTTTTAACATTGTAAATAGCAATGTTACCATGAGAATCTCCAATAGCAATCAGATGAGGTGATTTCTTAGAAAACTGACAGGTCGTAATTGAATGCTCAGTTTTTATAATTTTTTCTGGGAAGTTAGGATTTTTTAATGTCCAGAAGCACAAAAGACCTTCTTTAAGATTTTTAGTGCAATCAATATCAAATTCTCCATAAGCCACAGCAATAAGGTCAGGGTTCGCTTCATTTACATCAATGCAAGAAACCTGTCTTCCCTCAGTCATATCGAATTCAAATTTGAAAAGATGTTTTAGTCTAACAGCGTTCTCATCCTCTTTCTCCTTTTCGAGATCTTAATCTTCATCTTTTAACTCATCCTCTTGTTTCTTATCTTTTTTCATTGCTGGGAATAGTGGTTTCTTAGCATTTGCTTCATCCTCTTCCTCCTATTAAGTCTTTCTATTCTTATCATGAAGATTAACAGGTGGATAGTTCTTATAAAGCACATGCTACTCATGATATTTAGATTAGGTTAGCAATCTTTCAATGATCTTAACTGCCTTCATCATTGTCTCTGGTAAATCAGAATCTACATACTAGACATTAGTAGGTACTGCATTAAAATCTCCTGCATTGCTCGTACCATCAGTTTGAGCATTAGTTTAACTAAGTGAAGGGGCACTGTTCTGCTCGCTTGTTTAAGATTTATTTGTACTCTGCTTAAGCTGAGAAGAAGTTTGCATCTTATTTTTCTGAGAATTAGTAGAGTTGCTAGCTGTCTGACCTTGTGCCTTTTGATTTCCAGCATTAGTAGTTGCTATTGAGATATGAGATTAGGCAATAGCTTCAGCATCAATAAGGCAATATGGGTTCTTTAGATTATCTTCCATTATTGTTTTGATACTAGATGTATAATCTAGTTACTATTATCTAGCCTCGGTCATCTTTTTTGCCTTAGATGCATCATCAATATCCCAATTAGTTGCTTGTATGTCCTTATTTTCTTAGATAAATCCTCTATAGAATATATCTCTTGTCTTTTGGGTTAAGTTAAGAGTTTGAGAACCTCTCTCATTGTATGAGTCGCTACCAACCTTATTGGCCTTTAGTTCCTCATATTTTTTATTCTCTGCTGTGACTATTGTTTGTTCATCAGTATCATTCTGAACTGAAGAAGATGGAATAAAGAGAAGATCGAAAGTCTCAGTCTCTCCAATCTAAATGTCAACTAAAGCGTCGATCTCTTTCTCAGTAAGAGCTTTTTTATTCTTTTTATCTTGCTTTTCTTGAAGTTTTTTCTTAGCTTCTTCATCATCTGAAGTTTCTTAAAATGACGAAGTGAGTTAAGACTGCATTGACTAGGAAGTCTGATCCTTGTTTTATTGATTAGTTTTGGACTAATCCTAGTTAATCAATTAATTTGAGTTGTCTATACTCTTATCACCTTTTGCATCTTTGTTATCTTTAGAAGAATGGATAACAATCAACCTAAAAAAGCAGGGGGTTACATAAATTCATATCTTCTTACGGCTTTGGCTTGTATTTTAAATCTTCTTCGTGATACTTAGGGTTCTACACAGATAAATGAAAATTAATAGATGTCTTACACTTGTTGTGTTTCCTCTTGTACCTCTCTATTTGGTAGAGATCGAGAAACCTACATCATGATTAAGTTTTAAATAAAGTACCCATTCCTCCAGTTCTCTTAGATGGACCCCCTTGAAGACCCTTAGCTGTTGGACCTACAGCCAAGCCACCTCTATTTAATATTTTGTTAAGAAACTTTCGATTTCAATTGAAAATATATTAAATTTAGAAGTAGTCTTACTTGTTAGAGTTAGTTCCTGTTTACTTCGAAGTACTCATTTGTGTTTAGAAATTCCTTTAATATTTAAATATAATCTCGATATTTAAATCACTAAATATATCTATTGACCTTACTCTGAGACTTCATAATAAGAACACTTACTCTGGGGTTTTGGGGTTTTGGGGTTTTGGGG